ATATATATATATATATATATATATATATATCAACTAGAATCTCAACATGAAATATGTTGTATAATAGCATGTTCCTAACAAATGAATAACAATACTGTAACACACAAATGTTAGGAAAATCTTAAGCACGTTAACCAACAATTAAATTAAATGTAACATTTAAATTATCACACTAATACTTATATGTAAATAATTTATAATATACTTAAAAAAAAAGACATTGATCATGAAATCAAACAAAAGAATGAACTATCCAAACAAAACAAAGTACCACAAAAAAAAGGTCAGTAGCAGTAAAATAACAGCCAACTAACTTACCAAAGGCATGATAAAACTCATTGATATTCAATTTGCCATCATGATTTGTGTCATCATAAAGCAACATGTCTGCTACTATGCAAGCAGTGGATAAGCGGGCAAGATGGTCTCGTTCACCAACTTGCCATAATTCTTCAGCTTCTAGAAGTCCATTGTTGTTTTGGTCATAGTGAGAGAACATGCTGCTTACAAGGTATTCATTTTCTATGCGATGATAAAAACGTCATTTTACTTTATGAAAATGTGTGATAGCAAAAACCTAACACACTATAAAATTCACCTACTTGCAATTATTTCAAAAATTTTTTATAAATTTTTGTTTCCATTGTTTAGCTATTTGAATAATGGTTACATTCTTAATGACTCAATCAAGATTGAATTTCGAAGGGATGTACCCTGTTCAACAGGAGCTCCTAATATTGAGAAGGATACATACTAAAGTTAAGGGACTTTTGTCATTTTATGATTGCATTAATCACAATTTTGATACTTTATTGATATACAGTTTTATTATTATAAAATGTATTGTCATATATTTATTATGAAAAATTAAAATATTAATAAAATTTTCTCCATGTTTACAATCAGCTACAGCGCTATTATATTATTCATATTCTTCAAATTTTGTGTAGCACAAAAACTGCTCAAAAATACTACAATTATAATCAATTCACGATTTCTAAAAATATATGTACACTGTACAGCCCAATTTTCCATTGATTTACCACTTGTCACCGAGTTATATCAGTTTTGGAGAATTCCACTCCTCATAAATAACCTTGGGCAAGGATAAGTTGAAAGAATAATACTAGACTTTCATTTTCAATCTGCCCTTGTTACTGATAGTGGTAAGGAGTGAAATACCCTGAAACCAGTATAACCCGCTAACAACTGTTAATCAAATGATAGACTGGGTATCACATTTATGTTTAGAATTTTAAACAGCTTGTTGACTGAATAATTCACAAAAATTAATAAGTAGCATCAATGCTACATATTCTTGAAATCCTATATATGAACATGGATCACCGTACATATAACCAATGATTTAACTATTTGAAAATATGCTTTCCTGATTTCTTGCCATCTGTCAGTTCCTTATTGTTAAGTAGTAAAATATTTTCTTTCAGGAAATCATATTCTTCTTGGGTACATTCTGTGGCTTTCTCAGGCTTAGGTTTGGGAGTTGTTGTCAAACCGGTAAATTCTGGTTTCGGTATATTAGTCCATAAAACTGGGATATCTGTCCTTTTACCCTTTGCTGTGATATATGTATGGTCTTCTGTCGTTGTTTCCTGTAATTCTTGTCATATACAAGATAAATTATATATATATATGTAGTAGCTATTGCACATCAAAAACAGAACTTTTGACACGAATAAGGAAATAATATTTTTCTTTAAGTCTCTCACGCTTTGTTAAAGGCAGCGTTAGATATATCATAATTTGCTTGAATTTTTAAAATAGCGGTACAAATTTAGTCTCGTAGAAAAGTGTTTTGAAATTAGGTGAGACTGGGATAAAGGAGTTATTTCAAACTGAAATTGGATAGAGTTGTTAAACTGAATTTTTGTTTATTTATTTGTTGACTGAAAAATAACATAACACATGATTATTCTTATACACGTCAAGGGTCGGGCGTGGTCTATTGGGTAAGCATGCCTTGATGTAGTAATAATAGTTCAGGGTTCGAGACGCGATGTCACTGACCATACTCAGCATTTTCAGCTGTGGATACTTTGTTAAAGTGACCACAAATCCTGTTATTCCATTTCAAAAAATGCATAAGACCCTTACGGTGCTGGCTGGTTGCCTTCCCTTTGATCAATAGTTCAGAAATTAGTATTGGCTATATTTGAACCTTATAGGAGTCTCTGATCTGGCCTTTTGCGAAAACGGTGCTGTTCAGTTGAAAATTTCAATAAACAAAATTTAATTGGTAGTTGTCAAGATGTTATCTATGTTACTCATTGGCGAAGCTGCTTTTTAAATTATTTGTGTTTTAATAAATTGGTATTTGTTATTCATTTTTGCTATTATTTCATCACACATTTAGTATACTAAGAGTTTATTTTTATAAACATTGCTGTTACTATACAATTAATCATGATCCGGCTAAAAATAACAATTCAATTACGCCAAACACGGTTCACATAACAATAACTAAATATTGTGTAGCACAGAAACATGTCTAACAATACTATAATGTTTTCTGCCCCACTGTGTTAACATAGTTGTAATAATTAATACATGTGATACTATTTTAGTTCAATATAATAACATTTAACTTCGACTAATACCTGATATATATAATAATCGAACAAGCTTAGCGTCAAACAAAATAAGAACATATCATTTAAAAACAAAAACGTGAAGACGGTTTAAATAAGTAATTTCTTATGCTGTCTTAGCTCCGACACTATGAAAACTCAAACTATTTCACAAAGCTTTTTAATTTGTTTCTTTTGTGTTAAACACAAAATTACACAAAAAGGCTATCTGAGTTGTGCTCACCACGGGCATTGAAACCCTGTTTTTCGCGTTATCGGTTCACTCAGTTACCGCTGAGTCACTGGGGGTGGGGGTGGGTGGGGAGGCTAAAAAGCATAAGGCAAGCTGCAGTATAGTTGTAACAGCGTGGTTCGTGCAAGGCCGTTCACTCCATTTTCTAATTCTCATTACTAATCACATAGCAACAATAAGCTTTTAGTTTAAGAGCTAAAACCTACATAAGTTAATTTTAAACAAAAGACACATTTATCGATAAAAAAATTAAAGCTTACAATCATTTTAAATTAAAGTCAAAATTAGGAACAACATTAAAACATCTTATACCCATAAAGTTTAAATACCAAATAATCACGACGCCAAATTATTTTCTTAACACACTTTTTAAAACTGAAAGATGGATCTATATACTTTTCTCTTTCTGTACACACTTACCTTTTTTCTTTACCAAACACCCTCTTTTCCGATCGATTCGGATGGTTTTCCCCATTAGACAGGCTGTTCGATGTAGTTCGCAGTGACTACTGTAGAATTTGCCATCTGTACCGCATACCGGCTTATTGTGGTGCTTACAATACAACCGACAAGCGCACACAGCTTGCCCTGCTTCTCTTACTTCACACTGTTGACCTCTTCCACATGTTACAAAATCGCAGGAACCTTTCCAAGAGATACAAAATGTCAGAATTAAGACTGGTAGTATAGATTTAAAGCGTAACATAAGGTCAAAAACGCAAAAAAAAATTCAGCTTCAATTGTATTTTACATATTTTTGATGAGGCAGGAAAAAAAAAGGAAAACTGGCACGAATGATGCATTTTATCTAGTGTCTAGTTGTTTTTTGCTATCAGTTTATAGTGTGAGGACGAGATATAAGAAAAAACTTAGTACGTTTTTTATCTTCTGTGTCGTAGTTCCTGAGACTGATGATTGTTTGGCCATCATAATAGGCCATCTATGATGCGCCTACCGTAGTGATCGAACTTCGGATTCTAGTGTTATAAGCTTCTAAACTTATCGCTGAGCCATAGTGGACGAGGCTGGTGAACTTATATAAATTGTTACTTTTACAATAGTAAGTTGAATATGTTCATGCAGAATTATAAATGATGCTTGAATTCTCCAACCCAACCTAATGAGTGAAATATATATATATATATACCTCAAACTACTGACTTGTTTCTTTTCAGTTCATTACCATTGGGATCCGCGTATCGCACCATATTCAGTAACTTTTTGTTTTAGGCTTTTTATATTGCTCACCAAAATATTCTTCGAAGGTAGCTTTAGGCGGTGTGTAAAGAGCTGTCGATACACACACACACACACACAAACACAAACAAATATTGAATAAAAACCTTCATTTTCTATGCAGAATACCTAGGAGACCCCATCAATAATTTGTGGAATTAATTACAATATTCATAGATTTTGTTTTGTTTAAATTTTTTGTGGTTGTGATTCTTATATTATTGGGGACTTCGTAAACAACACAGTCATGGACCCACAAGCAATTTGGTGCATTATTAATATGGAAAAAAGTTTTTACAAGATGACTGTTTGTTTGTAGTTAAGCACAAAGGTACACAATGGGCTATCTGTGCTCTGCCCATCACGGGTATCGAAACCCGGATTCTAGCGTTGTAAGTCCACAGACATACCGCTGTACCACTGGGGGCTTACAAAATGGGGTCCATCCCCTTGCATAATTATAGGGTTGACGAAATATCTCGTGGAGTGTAAATGTATAGGGAACAAATTGTATTTGAACATAGGTTCTATTTATGCGTGTTTCTAAACGAAAGCCTAGTAACGAACTACGTGAGAATAAGAATAACACGACTAAACTTTTCAGAGGATTATTATATGCCTCATCACACTTTAGTCTAAAATATTTTAGGATATATGTTGCCACTACTTCATTATTATATTTGATAGGAATGTAATTAACTAAGGTTTCTCTAAACTTTAATAACTTCTCTGAATAATACTACTGTTAATGACGTGGTAATATAACACCAATTGTACTCATAAGGATCCTTTATAGCATATATGGATTTAATGTATATATAAGTAAAAGAAAATTAACTCAAACTGAAAGCTGACTAAAACCCGATGTAAAGCTTACAAGATTATCCAGTCAGAAAATTTTATTTTAAATTGTATCTAATCGAATAAAGTTATAACTACAAGTAAAAACATTTCGATTGTATCAGAAAAAAAACGAAACACTTAGTACATGTATTTGTGTACTCAGGTGTAAGATGAAACTGAGATAATTTTACTAACACTCTCACTACAGGGATTACACGCCCAGAATAGGGAAGGAACAAATAAATGATACAATTCAAACTAGTTGTGTATAACTTGTAATACGTTTGAAGAGTGTTTCTTACTATGTATTAACTGAAATAAGCGTTAATGAGAAAAAAACCTTTAAATTCCGATTTGTTTTACTTCGTATTACACAATTGATGTGGTTATATAAGCCGATATCTGAAATATATGTCACATTATTTACATAGTAGCTGAAAGCTGTATGTTTTGGTAAAATAAAACAATTGACTTCAGAATAGTTCATATACGATGTCTCTAATAGATGGAAATATAGCATTTTACTTGAAGTTTACAATAATAAAGTCATAGTGAGAATAAAAAATTAAAATTCACCGATACAAGGATACTTGCAGTTTTCTTTAGATAGTTATCATTACTTGTGGCGGAGTACAATTCGAAACGTTTTTACTTCATTTTGGACAATTTTGGAATAAAGATTGAGAATCCTCGAAGGAACAATTTATTAATTTTGGTGAACGTAGGTCAAAGTTTAAAGTCATACTAAATGTTAACCACATAATTCGAAAAGTTTATCCGATTTTGATCACGTTTGGTACAAAGGTTGAGTGGTCCCCAAGAATGTACATCAATGGTCTAAGTTACGCTGAAGGTCAGCCACTTTCATAATAATGGTAACAAACTGGGATTTTGAAAAACAGAAATAACTCGAGAACAAATTGATATAGAAAGAGGACTTTAGCATCTAGACCTACTTATTTGGGGGGTGAGGAATTGTTTGGTATGCATTTTATGTTGGTTATTACAAAAGTCAAAATCATTGTGGGACGGGAATTGCACTCTCTCAATGTCTTTTTTTAAATTTATTTAATACTGACTGACGTATCTATTCAACGCATAGAGAAGACATAGGAAGCCCCCGAGGACAACAGAGGAGGAGAGGTTCACATCCAAACATCATATGTCACTCTCAGTGGGGCCCTAAGGGTACATGTCAGGTTTACTGACAATTAGTCCAGCGGTTCGGTTCGCCAGCTATATGAGGACGCACACACACAGACGTTTGTACAAAAATAGTTTAAATATAACACGATAAGAATGGAGAAGGAGAGGTTAAAATCCCGCTGCATCATTTTGATCTTGAGAAATAAGTAACTCGCATTTGTAGTATTCATTCCAATTTCGAGTTGAAATAACAACTTTTTCCATAGTATTAATAGTATTTTTTATTTTTTAAATTAGGAAATTTTCTTTCATTTTTCACAACAACTGATTTCAGAAATACAACGCATCAAGTTAGTTTTAATGCATTGTACATTTTAATATATTTAAAACATTGAGTTAATAAATAATCATTCAATATTTTCAGCTTGGTTTAGCTGACCGAGTCGATTTAGCTTTAAATGTATTGATGAGAGTAGGAGTAATTTTAATCTAGAGACGCTAATCTATATCAATCCTTATCCATAGAGAACAATCGTTATTATATGTTTGAACAAGTGATGACGGCTTTTTTATACTTGTTTTTAAGCTGAAACAAAATTAAGTTTAAGGAGAGCGTGTGTTCTTCTTTGAAAGTCTCTTTAATTATTACGACTCGGTCTTTCTGATAGTTTTGCTGTGATAAACTTTCTGAAAAAAAATACATTTAAATTTCCATTCGTTGATATTGTTAACAACTGAGGACGATCTTGTGGTTATAAAAAGTATGTATTAACAAAAGTTCACTGAAATACATAGGAAATAACAAATACGTATTAATATGCCTCGTTGTTCTGTTGTCAATAAATGAAGGGTAGTCGTATCTGACAGTATATTAATCCACATGGCTTTACCATTGCTTCTAAGTACACAATCACAAGAAGATGGTATGCAATGACTTGAAACACGCATTGGAAATGATAAATTATTTGTCATTAAACTTTCAAAAATAATCACACAGACTTTATCCATAATGTATTTCGTTTTGTTATTTGGGACAGAAAGAAGAAAACCGAGAAAGCAACATATATTTGTGTTTGAGAGATGTTTTCTGATGTTCTTGAATTAAAAAAAAAGTTCCAGTTTAAGTTCCATCAATTACAATTTTTAGTCGAGAATGTAACTGCTGTTGTGTATTTATTTGAGAATACACTATTGTTTAATAACATAGAAAGGGTAAGTATTCCACTGTAACTGACCAGGTGATGTTGGGAGCAGTAATTCGAAATTAGTTAAACAAACAACAACAAAAAACACGTGTTGAGTGTAGGAAAAGTGGTTGCAGTTTAAAAATGTCCAAAAACGTAACGTAGATCAAATAAAACATCTTTACGAAGAATTGATAAATTTCTCCGATCATTGTTTTTTTTTTAGAAGTCACGCTTTAAATTATATATTTACGTCATTTTACTCTTAAAGAAAATGATATTGAGAAATAAACACATGCAAGTACTTACACACATACGTATGTACATGTGTTTAGGTTTGTTCGAGCTAATACCTGAAGTTTATCCCACTTTTTGAATTACGTCGGTATATTCATTATCTTTTGACAATTTGTTTTTCCTACACCATCTTAAACTGACACCCCTAAATCTTTTGTTCAACACTCACACATAAAGATCCAATTTTTCCAAACACACCAGGAAGGACAGGGTAAGAACATCTATGAATCAAAATTTCACTATTAAACTTTAAAAAGTTAAATGAAAATATACATATTATTAATATTTTTTTCAGTCTATATATGTATATATTTCTAACTCTTACACTATATAAAATATCTAAGTGAACTTCTATGAGAGACATTGATTCTATGTATGTAAATCATATTTTATCTTTTCATAATTTCGATTTATCCCAGTCCCTAAAGGTATTTGTTAGCTCCTCATTTTTAGCCTCGACAACAGGAAGAGCTTAGGCGCTGGTGTCAGACTAAAAACACTTTACCAATTAAATAAATATATTTTTAAACTTTAGTAAATTGACTTTGATTCTTATACAGCATAATTAGGGATGAGTATTTTGTATTGATACTATTATGTAAATTAACAAGTCACGTGAAATCACAACCAATATAAAGTCAAGGTGGAATGGATTGTATCATAACTACATTTTCAAATTACTTGCTTGGCGTTGCGTACGTATGTAATATCACTGAAAATTGTTTCTTTTGGGAAGAATATTTAACAGATTTTTCTGGCTCAAAATCTTCATACACTCAGTTCAGATAGGGGATTAAAAATTTCGAAGGCAGGAATAGCACTTGTACTTAATGGCATTGGAAAACAAAGGAATATGAATCAAATTTGGGAAACAGGACCATCCAAATAGAGACTTGCAACATGTCGTACCTCAGCTGTGGTTAGCAAAGCGCTGTGTTT